AACAGCCTTTGTGGAAATTCCAGTAACAGTTTCCATTTTGCTATTATGGCACACACACATACACATTGAAAACAGTATCAGCTACAATACCAACTATGCACTTGCACTATCAGCCTTGGTAAATATTGAACAACTTTAAAAACATATCAAGCATCTGTTCCAAGTCATGTGGGTTCAGTTTTTCTCTGAGCTGTAAGAGCAAAATTAAGACAGCATACATCTGCAACACTGGTGTGTAACATCTGAACATCATATTTCTGTCAGGATGTATAAAACAAACAGACAAATCTACAATCTCAAGTTCTTTATGGGATGAAATCTTTAGAATCATTAGAAATGCTTGATGTATTATTTAAAACTATCTATGAATATACTGAAAATAAAGACCCTGAAACATGAAATATACACACATTATTACGAAATAGTCACAGTGCATGAAAACTGGTTAGCATCCAGTGTTATCCATTCTAGTTTATAAATTCTACTGCCATTAACAAATCCTCCCCCACCATCATCTCACCTGAATTCCTCAGGATAAATCAACCCTCTTAAGTATCAGGCTTTCCTTAGGGAAAGAGTGAGAGAGAGTGCAAGCCAGGAGTGAGCGAATGTCAAAGAGGATGGCCTAGGCTGAATTCCAAAAGGTTAACCCCCCACTTTTCTGTTGATGGAGGCAAAATCCTTTAAAACAATCAGCACAGTACAAATGGATATGAGTTGGTGTGCAAAAAGCCATGTGACACGTTCCTGCTGAACTACATGGGAGCATTTGGGGAGGTGGTGGGGGGGGGGTCAGGGGATGCTATTGGGGTAAGGGGGAGGGTTTGTGATGCGAGGCCGCTGCAGCACAGTCCTTGTCTGTTGTTCTGTTTGGTGTTCTGGAACTGTGGATGTGCAAAGGCTTGCAGTACTGCTGCGGTCAATGGAACGTGCTGAAGTGCACACTTTCTTTCAGTGTAACTGGGGCGTGGTCATGGGGACACGTTGATGCTTAAAACAGATACGTAAACTTACACAGTTCATGTAGAGTGTGCTCTGCATGTTCACAGTGAATATGTGATGATGTTGACAAGGCAGTTGCCTAACAGTTAAAGGTTGCCGTTTATTGCATAGTTAAAGAAATATCAGCTAAACCTACCCTGACTGGATTTATTCTACTAACACTAGCACACGTGTATCAGTAATCTCAACGGCCGGTAATCTCAATCGTTTACACCATCACTGTTCTATTGTAATCCATTACAACAATTATGATAAATTGTCAGGGGCTGATGTAATGTGGTTGGTTTTTGTTGGATAGAAATGGTTTAAATTGAACTGTGTTACTGAGTAGTGTGTTTGACCCACCACACTACCACCACCACCACAAACTACAACCAAATAATAAGCGTACAATAATATTGATCTCTTTGACAGCATCATTTCATAATCTTTTCTGGATAAATTACAGTGTATAAACAATCTAATATTTGCCAAATATTAGGCAACAGTAACCAGTCACAGATTATATATGATACATCTGTTTAAATCTCTAAAACTCTTTGTTTCCTGAAATTTGTTCTTGCCCTGTGACATTAAGGGGAGACCACCCACTCATTGTTACCCTGAATGAATTTATCATTAGTAGGAAAAAGATTTCAGCATCTTACTTGCACACTGCACAACACAACACACCCCCTCAGTGAAACCTTGTCTCCTAGTTCCTCATTTCTGCAATCATTTTAATAAATGTTACGCCATGGCTGTACTTGGCTAGTTGTAGTCTAGTCTGTAAGCTGTCTGTCTGTAACCTAACATATAACTGTAGAGTTGTTTCTTATTTACTAAGCAGAAATTAATAGTATTTCACGATGCCACTTTTTTCAGTTCGTATTTCTAAGTACGTGCTGGTTTCCAGATAATGCTGCTGGCCGCACGTCATATAACCTCGTGATAGAGATAAAGAGATAATAGGATTGATAAATGCAAAAATCCCCTAAAGGGGGAATGACATAATGTGTTGTGACCTTTACTGATCTCTTGTCATATTGTGTTTTTTTTTTATTCACTGTTTATGCATTTAACACATTTTTACTATGAATGCACTGAGGGTCAAGAAGCCAAACAACCCACAAATTCTCTGTAATTTTCACAAGAAGAACTCTGATGATGCAATTGTAGTTCTTCTTCATTTTGATCATGAATGCTGTCAGTCAAACAGATGAGAAAGAAGTTTTGAGTCAGACCCACAGCTGCTGTGGTGTCATGTTTGCTTAAAGACGGTGTTGACAGGTTTGTTCATCTAACCACCATATAAATCTTTCACAAGATCAACTGCACATTTGCAAAGCATATGATCAATATGATTGAAAGAAATAGACTGTTGTTAATTAGGACTGAAGTGATATTACACTGACTAAATTATAACTATTTTGTTTAGTATTTAAGACTGAGACAAGCAATAAGCACTAAATAAACATCTTTAGGGAGTAATCGCACGCTGTACTAATGGTCCTCACTCTGTGAAAATTAGAAGCTTTTGCCAAGTTTTTCCCCAAAAGTCAATGTTGTACCATGTGGCTGAAAACTGTGAGAAATCATGAGAAAGAAGAAGAAAGAAGAGGATAAAATGAAACACCAGACGAGAAAATACAAAAACAGAGGATTGTCAAGTTAAAGCAAAACAGCGCTGACCAAACACTAATGAAGCAATTTCAACACAAGTGTGACTGTCGTAATTTTTTGCCACTTATGTTCTCTACTTGGAAAGCTAAAACCTCAAGAGCACTTCCTCAAAGTGTATAATAGTGTTGAATATTAGCAGCTTAATTTGAAAATCTGCATTATAAGATTTTCAAATGACCAGATTTGTGTGCATTGTTCATTATTTTCATGGATGATGCACATAAAGATTTAACTGAGAGAAAACTGTAACTTTTTCACTATTGTTATAGGGTTAAATAAATCCTTTTACTAAAATATTTAATTTAGCAATGCATAAGAGTGGCAATGAGTTTGTGAGCTTATTGCAGATTGGCTTACTTTGCCTGTAGTAAACTACAAAATTTTAGAGGATAGAGGAAGCCAAATATTATAAATACAGACTTGTCAAACCATGTTTAACCATATTCTTTCTTCTACTTTCTTCTTTCAAGTTCATGTTCATGTTACGGCACTAGAGCACCATCTATTGCACAGATGTATAATATCAGCTCACCACAATGAAAAAAGCATTGCTGAGAGAAGCTGTCACTAACCACCACCCTCACCACTAGCCATGGAAAGTTATTTTTTCTCACAGTGTACCTAATGTGCATGCAATTTACATAGGCATTTAAATTTAATGTTATTCCTTGAGATTGTACTTATCTCACCTTGAGGTGTGTTATTGGTACTTTTACTTAAGTAAAATGTTTTCTCCTTCTACCACACTTCACCACTTCCGCATTTCTGTGCCTCCCAAAGACAAGATCACCTTATTCCGAAGTAAAAATCTGCTACATAATTATGTACCACAAAAGAAAATGACTGTCATAAAGGATGATGAAGGGTCTATAAATGAGCCCCACATGATTTCAAGTAAACATTAGAAATGAGAATTGATTTTTATACCTTTAAATTTAGTTGCTTATGTTAATCCTTGTCCATTTGTGTTCATCAATTCTTTCCATTATGCTGCAGCGTCTTGTGTGGATGATGCTCAAGATCTGACATTAATGTTTATCGAAACATTAGCAC